TTAGAAAAGGAGTTTGATTTCAAGTTCTCATCACCAACGTTAATCGCTCCTGAAATGGTAACAAGCGCAACAAGTAAGCCAAGAAATGGTAAAACTTGTTTTTAAGAGAGAATCGTGAGTGAAGTGCATTTAGAGGCTTCACAAAAAAACGCGAAGCATCACTAGTACTCCACTACACTCTATTCGTTGCTGAGACCTAACACTTGTCAGAAAGACGAGGAAAGATGTTGATAAATTGCAGGGAAGATACTTTAAAGTGAAGTAATCTATCCTTAGGAAACAGCGCTTTTCGAAATTCAGAAACTCAAAGCTACGAGTCGCTTATGAAAGGGCACCGTCACAAGACACTTTTCAGCCGCCTGCTTTAAATTTACTTTATTCGTCGAAGGTTAGTTTGCAATAAAAAAACAGCGTCTATTATTATCGTCATTGCATTGGTAAGACTGCCTAGGTGGAAATTGCGTAGCGGTGATGTACCGTTTCTATAATTGTGAACTAAAATTAAAACTCGCCCTTGCGTACTCGTCGTTCAAGAACAGCGTCCGACAGATGTTGAAATTGTAAGACACTTATCTCCCAGCTTAAGCATGAGTCGGTGATCGATTTGCCACGATGTAATAAGTGCTTCTTTCCTTCGACAAAACTTTGACGTTCACCACCCGATTTGATTCAATCATCATACTGATAATGGAGTGATCACCCTGAGCGACTTGCTGACAAACGTCGGTGATCACGTCGGTCTTTCTGACGTTCGCCATCTTGCATACAATTCCCATGAGAACAATCAATCATAATCTTACTTGTCACAAGGCTTTAACTCAACAGCTTTTGAATGAGGCGGATATGCTCTGCCGAGTCATTGGGACCGGTTAAACTACCGCCTCGCAGCACCACGTGAACTTCATCATTACCCGGTGTATAGCGACAAATGATGTTGCCAGAATGATTAATCGAAAACGAAGCATGCGACTTTTGACTTGTTACACACGCATTCACTGCTGATTTTACACAACCAGTGCTCCATTCTTGAAACCAGTAGGTATATTTAAGCCGCTGACTAACTCTCGGTGTATCTGCAATTAGGTCGTGCGAGCACCGATTGCACCCCAGCTAACCAGGTCAGCTATACATTGTACGATCATTGGCTGTAAAAATTCAGACGTGCAAGGCAATCCTAAGCGGTTGACGTTGAGTGGCGGTTGACGCGACATTTGCAAGTCATGATCGATATCGCTCGTACCATCTAGATGCGGGTCATAGATGAGACCTTTCCAACCAACGATCGTACGTGGCTTTTCCAAATACAAACGATGGATAGTTGGCGATAGAGCTAGGCATGCACCGGTTTTGGTTTTTAACCGAATAACCGAAACCGATCATAACCGAAACCGAACATAACCGAAACCGATCATAATGCATAGAAGTGGGTGAAGAAGACGTAGTCTCAACGTTGCTTTTGGAAGAGGTCATATAACTCACGTTGGATTAGCGCAATATCATTATAACAGCAGCAGACTATCATTCTTTTCTAACCTTGTACTATCTGTTTGTTGTGTGATATATTTTTGGTTTTGTTAAACGAAAACGTAGTACTTTATTTCTGACATCACTATATTGTTAGACGTTTCTGTTACCAGCTGATCAAAATATACTTCATTTTGTTCATCTTTTGTTCTTTTCTACTCTTTTCTTTTCCTTCCTTTTCTACGCTTTATTACGCATATATCTAAACCGACTGAATTCCTTGTTGAAATATTTAATTTTCCTTCTTCACTTGGCTGACAAAAATACCAAGAAAATAAAATTTAGTTTTTACAAAGCCAGCCTTGTCAAGCAAGACCGTCTAGATCAGTTTCTATTATGTTCGGTTTCGGTTATAATCGGTTTCAATTAACCGAAACCGGTGCATGCCCAGATACAGCACCATTTCACAGCAAAGGCAGGGGCCGATTCTTGACGATTTCAGATTTCTTAGTGGCTCATACTTCTTCACCCTTTTTTCGACTTTCTGATAAAGAATACACCGAAGCTGTCAAGAAGTACCCTGAGCTGGAACAGAACGGTGACGTTAATTATGAAAAGAACTCTGCAACAGCCTCCATTGCTGTAGGAACTCAGGGATATTTCGATAATGACACTATTTTATCACAGTTTGAGAGACTATCGAAACTTCTCGAATTTAAGATAGAATTTCAAGGACATCAGATTGAGATTCTTGTAGACAATGCAACGACACATTCCAAAAAAGGTTATTCAGTCTCGGATTTTTCAAAAAACATTGGTACAAATTGTCCTGTTCAGTCCATCAACTGGCTCGACGAAGATAATGAGCTTCAAACTTTGAACTGTTTCTTTAAAAGTGGCAAACATAAAGGGAAAAGTAAAGGTGTGGTGGTCATCGGCAAACAACTAGGTTTGAAAGTATCTATGAAAATGACAGTGGATCTGTTACGTGAGACATTATGCTCACATCTAGCTTTTAAAATAGTGAGTTAAGGTCCACTTTTCTTGCAGCATTAAAGCAGCTGATTTTTTTTTTTGGCCTATTTTTAGATCTCCGCTAGAGAAGTTAGGCAACCGTTACGGAGTTCATGTACTGTTCCTCTCCAAATATCATTGTGAGATGTCATCAGTCGAAGGCATGTGGTGATCACAGAAGCCTGTAAGTTTCTGTCTACTGCGAGCCATTTTCGGTTGAGCTAGTCTGTTGTGAAGTAACTGGCATTTGTGTGTGTCTGTTGTAGACGTGCGCAAATACAGTGAACAGTCCTTTCCAAAAATGATAAATTTGATTAGTGAAGCACGTCGCAATTTTGAAGAGAAAAAAACTGATCGTAAACAACGACGATTTTGGCGTACGCTACATGCCTATGATCAGGGTCAAGATTATAAGGAAGTGCTGTGCATGTTCTTTGCTTCTCTGCCAAGGAAAATATCGTTTGGCATAGAAAAATTACAAATACAAATTTAAACTTAAATTTGTATTTTTAGAACAGTTTTCTTTTTCTTGTGTAGATGGGCAAAAGAGCAGATCTTTTTTATTTCGTGATACGCTTTTGTAAAATTTTATTTTTAATCAAGACTGTGATATAAAGACACACGCGATAGATCAATAAATGACTGAAAACTGAAAATTCGAGTGTAGTGTGTGGAATTCGGCGATGTTTTGCTGGTGTCACCCTCACCAGAGACCCTCCAAAGACCAGCTCAAAAGCCTTGAAATGACTTGCATCAGATTCGTCATCGTTTTTAAGGTATACACCATGACTTTGACGCGATTGAACGGAAATTCAATGTTTTAGGAAAAAATCACATAGCCGATTTTGGGCAAAACGCACCGTTTTTCAATGTTTATTTTTTTTCCCTATGCTGAAGAACAAATTCAAAAATGTACATATATAACTTTATTCTAAATTTCGGGTCGAACTTCGAGTTCCGCCGGTTGAATCTCTTGATATGTTTTTTAGTTTCTGCTGAAAAACTTTAAAACATAGTTTTCTAGATTCACTTTTCGATGTAGAATCTGAAAATATCAGTTAAAAAAAGTTAAAATGCAATCTGAAATGGCGACAGCACATTTTCTGAAAAGATGCGCTTTTTCGTGTTTTTGACCCGTGCTCAGTATTTCGGGTCTTTCTCCCTGAAGATGGTATTTTTTTAAACTCGGACGATGATATTTGTGATCAGCATACTTTGCTCTATCAGACTATATCTATTTGAATTAAAAATAAAAATGCGTGGTAACTTTGAATTACGCGCGCCACCTAAAACATTTCTTGCCATCTTAATAATTCACGGACGTAAGACAACCTTTTTACATACACATACGCACTGATCATGTTAAAGTGAGATATAACTGAAATCTCTACATTTCATTTCAGTTTCTTCAGCGTTATCAGTATTAAACAACAATAAAATGGTGAAATCAAATAGAGCACTGGTGAAGCGGAGAAAATGGATGGTAAGATAGTAAAGTAAGCTAGTTTGCACTAATACATACTTACCTCTTCTGGTTGAAATGATATTACATTGAAAAAAACGCATCTATATATACATATATGTTTGCCTGTTGATCGTGAATGTTGGTCGGAGAAACTTGCGCACGAACGCAGTGTATAATGTGGAGGAACGATATATACAATGTGCACGAAGGCACTGTATAGTGTACACGAGGGCGCTGTGCGATGTACAAGGTCCCACATGATACACACGAATGCCCTGTGTGATATATGTGACGATTTCATACACTGTGACGAAAAGTGCGTTTTAGAGATTGCAAGGGAATGTGGTGGAAGGCCGTAACGGAAAATGTCAGATCAGATAGTACCATGAGCTGTTCGATTTTCATTGTTCGTCGAATCTTCTGCACGATATGAGAAAGATAGGAATGAAGAGAATTGAAGTTGTAGAAACAAAGCCAATTCTTCCATCCTCTCAGAAAAAGAAAAGATGATCAGTGTTGAAGGTCAATCTAACTGATTTTCGCTGGTTCAAACGATAAACCCGGCCTATCAGCTTCCCTCTCAGCTCCGTCAGATGCGATATGAGTCTCTTCAATGACGAGCGACCGAACTCCAAATGATCCAAACAGTCTTCAAAGCATGAACAGCGGAGACATGAGCCGATCTCAACATAGGGAAGTGATGTGCTCAGATTACAAAATTTCCATTCCCACGACTCTTTTCGACATCTCAAAAGAGATCAAGATGCGCAGAAGTTTGTTGACAGACTAGCCGATATTCGAGTGAACATCTCAGGCAAATCAATAGTCGCCTCGCAACTCTCTTTTCTCGTTCATTGACGAGAGTTTTTGAGATCGGCACGTAAAAATAAGAAAGAAGAATGCACCGACTTCTAAAATCCTAAAATTTTCGGCAAAAACTCCTCAAGGATTTATTGACTACTTTCACAATACAAAAGTAGATATATTAACAGTGTGTGCTACTGGAAGAACTTTCCGAGTTCTAGATTTCTGGATCAGTTTTTTTCCTAAAACAACATTAAGTGACGGCTAACTCATGAACAGTGCTGCAGGTGTTGGTTCTCGATTGTTGAATAAGGATCTGATCTGCTAAAACTAACGCTGCCATCGCTTTAACAATGGGCACTGCTCTTGGGACAACGCACGGATCATGCCGTCCTCTTGCATTCAGGAAGCATTGTTCGCCGTCAAACGTGCAAGTCTCTTGTGTTTTATCGATCGTACCCGGTGGTTTAAAAGCGACTCGGAAGACTATTGGCTCACCATTACTAATACCGCCTTGAATACCACCACTATTATTCGTTTTAGTTGTCAGTTTCTTATTACGGGAAGTTGTATCACTAATGAACATATTATTATGTTCAGATCCTCTCATCTTTGCTCCTTCGAAATCGCTTCCAATTTCGAAGCCTAAAATAGAACAAAAAAGTCGAGAGCTGATCGTTTAACATACGATCGAAGATGCTTAACTAGAGCATATCATGAAGGAGATCCTTCAAGTTGAATTACCTTTGGTGGCCGGTATTGAGAGCATGGCATGTGTCAACATGGCTTCCAGTTTATCGAAGACGGGCCCGCCAATACCAGGGGGAATGTTCCGACAAATGCATGTTATGTGCCACCGACTGAATCTTGATCATTTAATGCTGCTTCTATTTCATGTATCATCGATTCTGCTGTCTGAGCAGCTGGACAACGCACGAGACTTTAATCTATTTGTGGCTTTTGTAGTGACGATTGCTTGAGTAATACTTCGGTTTCTGTTGGCATTTCAATGTGCCCGATTCCACTGACATAGGCAACAATTTCTATCCCATAGGTCTCCGATAACCATCTCTCGGCAATAGCGCCAGCGGCAACCTGTAATAAGGAGATCATTCAAGAATTGGCTAGTGCTCTACGAATCCGTATGAAGCTTACGCGTCCGATTGTCTCTCTTGCACTGTAATCATTTATCATATCTGTGAACTGAATCTTTTCTTCCACCTCCTGTAACGGGTGTAACATAAAGAATGTCCACTTTTTTATTTTCAATTTTTCTCCTCTCCCTTTCGACCTACAGAACTCATTTTTCTACCAAAAGAATCGCCGTTTATTTCCCTACAAAACTGTGTATTTTATTCAACAAATATAATTTCCTTTGTTTTTTAAAATAAGGCGCAGACGTACAGTAAAATTTTCAACAGAATGTAAAACATTTTGGGCCGGGATTTTTTTAACAGCTCGTTTTATTTCTTCCATCAGTGTGTTTTTTGTTCGTACGTGATCCCAATTCATTGTCTGAACTAGTTCGTCCCAGATACTGTAGTCCATCGGGTTTAAATCGGGCGAATTAGGTGGCCATCGATAATGGGGCACAAATGCAGTCATATTGTCAGCACACCATTGCTGAGTGTTGTGATCCTTGTGAGCACTGGCTCCATCTTATTGGAATGTCCAGTTGTTGCCCATCATTTTATTTCCACATTTCAAGGCCACCGGGAGCACTTCTCTCATATACCGTAATCTACTGTACCTTTGTCAAGAACGACGAGCGTGGTTAGCCCTTTTCCACATGCTCCAAGCCAAACCATTATCTTTGTGGGAAATTGATGTATTTGTTTCACGCCACCCTTTTTATCAGCTTCTTGACGATTGATCGCCCATACCCGATCATTTTGAGC